CCTTCCTCAGTGTCTCCCTTCCGAGCTCTGATGCCACAGAGCCTTGCCTGTGTCCCTGTGCCCATTCCAATTACCCCCCCCTTAGCAAAACATGATTCCAGTTCCTCCCTCCCCCCCCCCCACTTCCTGACTGACTGCAGACTATATAGTAAAACTTGAGTTCTGCTTAGCTATACCTTAACCAATCATTTTACTGAAATTTAACTAACCAATCCTAACATATTGTAATATGATTATCTAACCAATTATATCCCACCACCTTAATTGGTTTACACTCAACAAAATTAATTATACAGCAGACAGAAACAATCACAGAACCAGACAGATTACACAGATAAACAATAGGGAAGTGGGGACTACAACAACAACAAAGAAATGAGGATTTCACACCCCAGCTATTGATAAGTGAGTTCTTATCGTGAGCATCAGACAGGATGCTATCAAACTAAGTTTTCTTTAAATCTTCTAGGCTTTTCCCTTTCTCTGGAGGTGATAGATTGGATCACCTTTTTAACAACCCAAAATTGCCTTATTTCAATGTAACTGGTGAGGATGTGACCGTACACTTCCCAGCTTATGGTTGCCCCTGCTGTTTAGCCAAAGGCCTTAGCCTAAAAACAAGGCCTTCGACTATCATAGTGAAAAAAGACTGTAAACAGGCAGACTGATTTTGATTCTTGTTTTGTACCTCTATAACTAGCTAAGTGATAAGAATACACCTGAATTCTTAAAGTATAGGCCTTTACAGACAGGCCTAAATATCTATATCCTAACAGTTTTCATAAAGAATAATGATTCACCTTTAAACTCAGCCTTCTTCAGAGTGGAATTTAAATGGTAGAGGTAGTCTGGTGGGTTTTTTTCTTACTATATAGGTATTTTTGAATCCACCTTGATTTTATTATATTTCTTGTGTTGACTTTCTGTGATTTATAGGGATGGCTAGGGAAGGAGGTAAGTCAGGGGACTGGCATCTTTTCACATTTTTAAAAATGAGGGCTGGTCTGCACTACTGCAGTAAATCGATCTAACTCAGTGGTTCTCAAACTGTGGTCCACGAGCTCCATTCAGGTGGTCCGTGGATAGTTCCCTCTAAGGTGTGCGCCTGGGCGGCTGCACACAAGAGAATGAAGGGCCACCCACCTAATTAGTGGAGCTGCGCAGGCATGGCTCCACTAATTAGGTGCCTGGACCCTGGAGGAGATGCACATGTACGGTGAGGTGGTGGCCTGGGGGGGAGGCAGGAGGAGGCAGTGGGGTGAAAATAGGGGGTGTAGGGAATTTGGGACGTGCAGAGTTGTATCGGCCAGAGAAAGAGGTGACTTTCCCCAGCTCCAGGTCTGCGGCTGCCGGGAAGAGATGGCCCTCCTTCCCAGCCCCAGATCGGCGGCTGCCACGGCGGGGGAGAGAGGGCACATCCATCGCATTAGAAAGGCAAGACTACTGATATTAAAATATGAGTTGTGTGCTTTTATTTATAGAACAAAAAAAGTTACTTTTTTTTTTAATATAGCGCTTTTATCCAAAGTGCTTTACATTAGTTAGCTAACAGTACAAACAGCATTTGGAACGATCATTAAGTGGTCTGCCGAGACCCTCGGCATTTTTCAAGTGGTCCGTGAAAAAAAGTTTGAGAACCACTAACCTAACTTACGCAACTTCAGTTACGTGAATAACGTAATTGAAGTTGATGTAGTTAGATCCACTTACCGCGGTGGCTATACTGCACTGTGTCGATGGGAGAGTGTCTCCCGTCGACTTCTCTTACACTTCTCGGGGAAGTGTAGTACACAAATCAATGGGAGAGTGCTCTCCCATCGATTTAGTGTGTCATCACCAGACCCACTAAATTGACACTCACTGCATTGATTGCAGCAGTGCTGATCTACCGGTAAGTGTAGACAAGCCCTCAAAGGGAAGTAGGATCTGCGTCCACTATGTTGTATTCTATGATGGGAGTGGTGATCTGCAGCAAAGGTGTTCTTGATTTTTGAGCCTCCATTGGTATTCCTGTCTACTCAATAGAAATGATAATTGTGAACATAGTTAGATACCCAGGCATGGGAAAGCATTAGGAAGAGTGTATCATCAGCCTGTAAGGCAGTTAGTTTAGGGACAGAGGAATTGCCATATCTGACTGGCGAACCATCTAGTCTGGTAGCCTGCCTTTGACAATAGCCAATAGCAAATGCTTCAGAGGAGAAACAAGAAATGTTGTTTATTTCAGAGCACTTAAACCGAGGACCAGAGAGGCAAAGTGACTTAAAAAGAAATGTAGTGGATAATTATGGAATAACCTGCTTATAAGAGATGTTTCTTCCTAACCTCACTCAGTGACTGTCTTATGCCATGAAGCATGAGAGTTTATATCCCTTCTGACTTGAAAAGAAAATCCCATCCAATGTAAATGTGGATGTTCTTGTTTTTCATATAAATGTCTACTAATTTTTAAGTCCTACTAAGATCTTGGCCTCGGTGAATATCTCGTGGCAATACGCTCCAAAGGTGTAAAACAGTGGTTCTCAAACATTTGTACTGGTGACCCCTTTCACATAGCATGCCTCTGAGTGTGACCCCCCCCCTTATAAATTAAAAACACTTTTTATATATTTAACACCATTATAAATGCTGGAGGCAAAACGGGGTTTGGGGTGGAGGCTGACGGCTCACGACCTCCCACGTAATAACTTTGTGACCCCCTGAGGGGTCCCGACCCCCAGTTTGAGAACCCCTGGTGTAAAAGAAGCATTTCCATTTTTTACTTGTAAATTTCCTACTATTCAATTAAATTGAGAGTATCATTGTTCTTGTATTATGAGAAAAGGTAAATAGGTGGGCCCAATTTATTTTCTCTATCTAGCATCGATTATTTTTATACTTCAGTTGGTGTGCAGGAGGTGCTGGGAGGGAGGGAGAGGAGTTGATCAGTGGGGCCGCTGGCGGGTGGGAGGCACTGGGGGGAGGATGAGAGCTTGGCTGCCGGTGATGAGTTGGCGCCTATGCCAGTCTTTTCAGTCTCTTCTCATATGGAATCTTTTGGTGCCTCTATTTAATTTTTGTCCCCCATCTTTGACTCTTCATCTCCCCTATGAGTTATTAACAATCTGCTATATCGCTATGACTCGCAAAATGTTGGCAGGTTTCTTAAGAGGAGAATCTAATCTATTCTGGAAATTAGGGCTGTCGATTAATCACGATTAATTTTTTAAACTGCGATTAATCTCAGTTTTAATTGAACTGTTAAGCAATAGAATACCAATTGAAATTTCTTAAATATTTTTGGATGTTTTTCTACATTTTCAAATATATTGATTTCAATTACAACACAGAATAGAAAGTGTACAGTGCTCACTTTATATTATTTTTTATTACAAATATTTGCACTCTAAAAATGATAAAATAAATGGTATTTTTCAGTTCACCTCATACAAGTACTGTAGTGCAATCTCTATCGTGAAAGTGCAATTTACAAATGTAAATTTTTTTTGTTACATAACTGGACTCAAAAACAACAGTGTAAAACTTTAGCACCTACAAGTCCACTCAGTCCTACTTCTTGTTCAGTAAATCGCAAAGATAAACAAGCAACAGAGGGTCCTGTGGCACCTTTGAGACTAACAGAAGTATTGGGAGCATAAGCTTTCGTGGGTAAGAACCTCACTGAAGAAGTGAGGTTCTTACCCACGAAAGCTTATGCTCCCAATACTTCTGTTAGTCTCAAAGGTGCCACAGGACCCTCTGTTGCTTTTTACAGATTCAGACTAACACGGCTACCCCTCTGATACTTGAAAGATAAACAAGTTTGTTTAAATTTACGGGACATAATGCTGCCCACTTCTTATTTACAGTGTCACCTGAAAGTGAGAACGTGTTCACATGGCACTTTTGTAGCCAGCATTGCAAGGTATTTATGTGTCAAATATGCTAAACATTCATATGCCCCTTCATGCTTCGGCCACCATTCCAGGGGACATGCTTCCATGCTGATGACCCTCGTTTAAAAAAAAAATGCATTAATTAAATGTGTGACTGAACTCCTTGGGGGAAAATTGTATGTCTCCTGCTCTGTTTTACCCACATGCTGCCATATATTTCATGTTATAGCAGTCTCCGATGACCCAGCACATGTAGTTTGTTTTAAGAACACTTTCACTGCAAATTTCACAAAACGTAAAGAAGGTGCCAATGTGAGATTTCTAAAGATAGCTATAGCACTCGACCCAAGGTTTGAGGATCTGAAGTGCCTTCCAAAATCTGAGAGGGACTTGGTGTGGAGCATGCTTTCAGAAATATTAAAAGAGCAACACTCCGGTGTGGAAACTACAGAACCTGAACCACCAAAAAAGAAAATCAATCTTTTGTTGGTGGCATCTGACTCAGATGATGAAAATGAACATGTCAGTCCGCACTGCTTTGGATCGTTATCAAGCAGAATTCATCATCAGGTATTGGTCCTGCTTTGAGCAGGGGATTTAACTAGATGACCTCCTGAGGTCTCTTCCAACCCTAATATCCTATGATTCTATGATCAGCATGGACGCATGCCCTCTGGAATGGTGGTTTTAGCATGAAAGGACATATGAATCTTTAGGGCATTTGGCACGTAAATATCTTGTGATGCTGGCTACAACAGTGCCATGCAAACGCCTGTTCTCACTTTCAGGTGACATTATAAACAAGAAGCAGGCAGCATTACCTCCGGCAAATGTAAACAAACTTGTTTGTTTGGGCGATTGGCTGAACAAGAAATAGGACTGAGTAGACTTGGAGACTCTAAAGTTTTACATTGTTTTATTTTTGAAAGCAGTTTTTTTTTTTACCATAATTCTACATTTGTAAATTCAAATTTCATGATAGAGATTGCACTACAGTACTTGTATTAGGGTGAATACTATTTCTTGTTTTTACAGTGCAAATATTTGTAATAAAAATAAATATAAACTGAGCACTGTACACTTTGTATTTTGTGTTGTAACTGAAATCAGTATTTGAAAATGTAGAAAATATCAAAATATTTAAATAAGTGGTATTTGATTGTTTAACTGCACGATTAATTGAACGATTCATCACTATTATTTTTTTTTAATTGCATGATTGTACAAGAGTTTGCTGGGGCTCAACCCTCTCCGGGGCGGCGGGGAGCCACACTTGCTCACTACACACTGGTGAGCTGGGGAACTTTGTCCGGCCATGGGTCTCCCTCGGCAGCTCTTGCTGTAGCTGGAAGAACACGGTAAGCCTGGCCCTGCTCAGGGCGGGCAATAAGACTGTGTCCGGAGCTCAGGCCCTCAGTCAGGGCTAAGCAGCAAGCAAGAGTGTTTAGCCCAGGCCCTAGGTCAGGGCGGGGCAACAAACGCTGAGTCAGAAGCTCAGGGCTGAGCACCAATAGTACAAAGTATTGAGCCCAGGCCCTAGGTCAGGGCGGGGCAACAAACACTGAGTCAGGAGCTCAGGCCCTCAGTCAGGGCTGAGCAACAATAGAAGGCCCAAGCCTCAAAAGGCCTGGGAGAGAGGGAGACTGCCACCCATGGGTTGAGTGGCGGGGGGGGACAGGCCCCCCCACTCCACTGCGTCCCAGCCCGGGGCCCTAGCAGCGGCAGAAGACCCGCTGCTGTCAGTGGGGATCCTGGCCGCAACACACTGACATAGGCTCTGGTAGTGCTGCAGCCTGACTGGGGTTGGCTGTCCCCAGGCTACTTCTACACTCCCCCTCAGGGCCTACCTGGGTCCTGGTGTCGGTCTCTGGGGAATCCAGGATCATGGGTTCGTTAGGGCAGGGATTGATCGGCAGGCCCGGCGGCTCCGCCGGATAGGGGGCGCAGGGCAGGCCCATCCAGTCCTGGCGGCCGCCTTAGGCCACGGGGTCTTCTCAGCCACGAGCTAGGCTGGAGACATCTCTCTGGCGGCTTGGGCCTGACTGAGCTGTGAGGGCGAGCTTTTATACTTCCGGGTCTCCGCCTGACCCTCTGAGGGGTGGGCTCAGAGCTCCCTAGCTCTGCCCACTCCGGCCTCCGGATGGGCTCTTCCCCCTCCGGGGCGGTGGGGAGCCACACCACCTCACTACAGCGATTAATTGTGATTTATTTTTTGTTCGCTTGACAGCCCTACTGGAAATACAAAAGAAAAAACCCCTGGGATCTCAATTTCATACATGTTGGAGTTTTCTGTTCAAAACTCTCTCTAAATATGTGGAATAGAGAATACTGGTGTCCTTGAGTCTGGGACAGAGAGGAAGACAAAAGAATTGATTGAACAACTAGGGTAATCGGAGCTATGTTTATCAGTTTTAATTTTTTTTCCACAATAAAATATATATACCTTAAAATCCTCCTTTGGTTGGCTGATTTTACAGATACTACTCATGTTGCTTTAATTTTGCAGGAAGTGTTTCACTGTAATTTCACAGTTTTCTACATTTATTTTCCACAGATGTATTTTCAAATCTGCACAAATAAACCTAGAGCAAAAATTATAATTTAGTCCCTATGCAGATGTAACCCTTCTGCCAGGTGGAGCCAGCAGCAACAAGGGCCAGGTTCAGTATCTAGGGGTTCCTTTTTAACAATATAACACAAAACTGGCTCGAGCCCCCACCCAGTGCCCTGTGATAATTACACACCACCCCCTGGAAGCCTCTAAGAGGCAATACTTCCCCTATTGCAAGCTCAGAGTCTGAGTGTAACAAAACTTAATAAAAGGAGGGAATTAACTCAGCATTAATTTGGGAAAACACTGCAACTGGGGTTCATAAACACAAACCATGAGCAAAAGACCCACCCCCCAGTAAGTTGGGCAGTTTCCTTTTCCCCTCAGGGTCTTAAGTACAGCAACCCAAAAGTCCCCTTAACGTGCCCATCCCTTCTCTGTACCCTGCTCACAGTTGCTGTCCTTGGCCAGTGCAGCCTCAGAGTTCACCTCCCACCCTGTGTGGAAGGTAGGGCGGGGGGCGGGTAAAGAGGCACCTTACATGCTGCACTGCTCAGGCACTTGCTTGTCACTCCAATGGCCGATTGCCACACCTCTGCAGGGCTCTGCCCTTTCTACCAGCTTCTCTGCTGGCTGCTTGTTATGCCTCTCCACCAGCTACCCCACTGGCCACTTGCCAAGATGTCTTTAGGGCCCTGTCACGCTTAACACAGCTCTCAGTGATTTCAGCTGTTATTGGGGGAGCCTCACTGCTGGTGCACACTAGGCAGTCTCTTACAGTAGAGACATTATCCTAAGGTAAGTATCTGTGATTTCAGCTCTGCAGTATGCAACAAGACTCTCAATTAGCTCTTTTATTATACCAGGACAAGAGAAAGGATCAAATAGTGTCTAAACCCCACACCATCAGGTACCACCTCCTCTTAAGTCATTGAGCTTTGGAACCCATGTCCCCTGCCTAGCGAGTGCTGTTCAATTGAGGGTGAGTCCCTCCATTGGGGTATGCCACATACAGTTCTGCTGCCATCGGTTCACAAAACAACGATAACAACCCTGTATTACTCCTGCCCCAATAATAAGGAGACTGGGGATCCAACACCAGCCACAAGTGATCTTTTGGGCAAGCAATCCCATCATGCTGAGCACCTATGCAGGGTGGGTGTGTCCATGCAAACGAGATCAGCATCTGAAGTCTTTTTCCACAGCTCACCACTGGATGTCAGGGGAGAGCTCATTCAGACTCTGCTTACACAGACAAGTTGTCTCCTCCCCTTAATTCAAACCTTGTGCCTTGGTTTTAATCCAACCTGTCATAAATAGCAAGAAATTAAAATAGTTGGTGAAAAAAAGGTTTTTAAATGGTTAAATAACTATGAGCTTTTCCAGATCAGTGGCTGTAATTTGCATTGGAGTATTGTTTATGAAAAAGTCTCTAATGCACTGATGGGTTGTATGATATTTTCCATTTTTTTAGTAAAAAGAAATCTTTGGGCCTCCATTTGGCTATGTGGTACCCTCATCGAGCCCGGGGCACAAAAACTATGACATGTATACATCACCCAAACAACCCAGACTCAGATGTAGAGCTGACAAATCTGGAAATCAACAGTTGGGTATTATTGTAGCCCCCCCCCCCCAGGGCACTGATTGAGCAAAGGATTTAAGCACATATTCAGATTTATACAGAGGGTTAAGTGCTTTTCTGAGTCAGGACTGCTATAACCCTGATCAGAAACCACCCTTAAAATAAAGAGCAGCATCAGTTTAATTTATGTTTTCCTTTTTCTTTTGCAGTGAACATTGAAGCACACACCTAGTAGAGCTCTGTAAGGTTTCATTTTGTTCAGCCAGTAGCATGAGCTGGGATGACTTATGTTGCAAAGAAGTGTGGCATTCGCTTTCAGCCTCCATCCGTTATCCTGATCTATGAAGATGAAAACAAGAATAGAGCACGCCAGCGCATCATGCCTATCCGAAATTTCTCCAAGTTCTCAGGTACAGTATGTTTAATTTTGGCATCCCACAGCCTCCTTCTGCAAAACAGCAAAGGGGCAGGAGGGAGGAGAGATGGCAACTGGGCACCTCTTCAGGGACTGGTAGGTTTCTTCTCACCAGCTCTGCATGGGAGGTTGTGTAGTAGGACTACTCTCTGGAGGTGGAATACCCAGTGTTCCCCAGGCTTGGAGATCAAGCCAGGAAGCTTCCCAATCTGAGCTGTCTAGTTTAAAAATGAGTACTGGCACTCCTAGGGCAACAACTTACCCCAGAGAATCTTTGGATAAAGAGCATTTATTTATTTATTTTATTTATTTAAGAATAAATATGCTTGAGGCAGTAATTCTTGGGGGGGGGGGAGAGCTTTTTTTCCAGATTGCAGCAGGGCTGCAGAACAGCTGAAGAATAACCCTCGGCACCAGGCTTACCTACAAGGGGTCTCACTGCAGCAGCTGCAGAAATTATATAGTTTGCTAAGAGGCCACTTGCAGGGAAAGAGTTTGGCCCAGAGCTTGGAGCAGATTCAGCAGGAAGAGACCATTGACCCAGAGGAGGACCTGAACAAACTAGATGACAAGGAACTGGCGAAAAGGAAGAGTATCATGGATGAGCTGTTTGAAAAGAACAGGAAGAAGAAGGATGACCCAGATTTCACCTACAATGTTGAGGTTGAATTCCCACAAGTTGAGCGGCTGGAATCCTGTGGCTGGGATGCAGAGTCGGACAATGAGTTCTGATAAGGGACAAGGCCTCCTAAATAATCAGTATGGAGACAGAGAGAGAAAACCCATATTCCCATTACACAGAGAGCACAGTTACTGTGTCCATCATATCGCATCAGTCTACAGAGCTTGACTGACACTGTTTACAAGCCATACAACTGATGCATTTTACATTGGTAAATAAGAGATCAGTGCCTGTGGTGTTTTAGCAGTTTGGGGAATAGACAAACAATTTTAAAAGTCTTATGTGAAGCCTGATAAAAAGGGACATGGGGATATTGAAAATTATTTTTAAATGGTTAGATTTGTAGCTGTTAAGTAACTGAAATAATTTTAAATCTCCATCTTTCAGCATTTGTTTGTTTATATTTCATTCATCTTTGGCAAGGAAACTAGACTGGTTATTTTTGTTTCTATTCAATTTTATTTTAGTCCTTAAAATACAGGGTTAAAGTTGCAAATCTTTACATCTAACTCAGGAGAAGAATCATTCAGATTCTTATTGCAAATATGTAGTATTTTGTTATTTGTTAGGCTTTTATAAGTGTTTTAATCTATACTCTGTAGACAAATCAATATTGCAGTGAAAATCTTACCTTTAGATTTCTTGAGTTGTGTTTAAATCCACAATCTCAGTGTTCCATGAATGTATGTTTTTGTATTTAAGAAATAAAATATTTAGAAAACAGATTAACCTTGGAGATATCATTGACATTTGGGGGGGAGGGATAGCTCAGTGATTTGAGCATTGGCCTGCTAAACCCAGGGTTGTGAGTTCAATCCTTGAGGGGGCATTTAGGGATTGGTGGCAAAAATCTGTCTGGGATGGGTCCTGCTTTGAGCAGGGAGTTGGACTAGATGACCTCCTGAGGTCCCTTCCAACCCTGATATTCTATGACAATTCAGTGATTTGTCTCCCTAACCTGTCCAGTGCTGCACTCTAGGTAAATGGTCAGATTTGGGGAAGTTTGCTTTAAAATGGCTGAGCAACAATTTGGGAGAAAGTCACAAGAGTTTATGATACTTTTGGAGTTAAACAAGTTCTTGAGCTGTGCTGCCTTATCAGACTGCTAGTCCAGAATTGTTCTGAGCACTGCTAGATGGCAGCTCCTTGCAATAGCTTTTATGTGAAGCCATGGCATCTAAGATTCTCTAAACAGCAATTTGTTCTCAGAAGAGGGCTAAAAGGCCTCCTTTATGCCTTTTCCCCCCTCAGCCACTAAGGGCTGGTCCACACTACCCGCCTGATTCGGCGGGTAGAGATCGATCTTCTGGGATCGATTTATCGCGTCTCATCTGGACGCGATAGATCGATCCCAGAAGCGCTCCCCCGTCGACTGCGGAACTCCTGCTCGCCGAGAGGAGGAAGCGCTGTCAACGGGGGAGCCTGCCTGCGCCACGTGGACCCGAAGTAAGTAAATTTAGTTCGATCTAGGAAACGTCGACTTCAGCTACGCTATTCTCGTAGCTGAAGTTGCGTTTCCTAGATCGATCCCCCGCCCCAGTGTGGACCTGCCCTAAGTGTAGAGATGGTAAAGAAGATAGTGAAGGAACAGGCCACAGTGATTATAAATCACCTTATTAATTCTCAGACCTTAGCTCCCAGACCTGTTTTAAATGTTACTGGAACATCCCCTCAAATCTCAACACACACACAAAATGTAGTGCAACAGGGACCTATCCTGAATCAAAATCTAGTGTTGGCTAACCAGTCAGCTGGGAAGCTGAGAGGAAAGAATTGCAGTCACTCATTCTAAGGCAATAAACATCCTCCTAGCAAATTGGAGGAAATTCACAAATGCTGTCTATGTTCCACTTGAAGTTTCAATGTTGCTGTTACAAGGGACACGCATCAAGGCAAAGTCAGCTGAAGCTAAAGACATTCTAGTGTTTTTACAAGATGGCTTAACCATGGGGCCAAAGGCCAACACTTCTTGGAAAGACAAGTCAACAGCTACAGGCATATTGCACTGTAAAGAAGCCATGAGGTCTCTCTCATCACTGTCACATACCAGATTTCTGGGGAACATCACTCTTATAATAATAATTAATGGTACCGTCACTCTTTACAGAGCATGGTGTATGCGCTGATGAGTTCTTTGATGGCTGCTGAGTCTGACGAGCAAATGACAGTCCCATCCAAGGGCACAACTAAGCACTAGCAATACTCTGAATCCAAGCAGCAGATTCTTTCCTTCTCTGACATTGGTCATCACAAAGTTTGATCCAGTCCACCTCGCAACGTGTCATTCCATCTACAAGCTGACTCCGCCAACCAGAGCAGCATTTTGCACTCCTTTCTCAATCATCCACAGAGATTCCAGAGGATATTAAGTCATCGCAAGCATTCCGAAATCTGTGCAGTAGTCTGCCTCTCTTTCTAGATCACAAAACTGCTCTGCAACCTTTTTAATGTTAAGTGCCAGCAGTCTGGTTCCACTTTGAGTTAGGTGGAGCCCATCCCTCCTGTATAGGCTCCCCCATCCCAAAAGTTTCCCCAGTTCCTAATAAATCTAAACCCCTCCTCTCTACACCATTGTCTCATCCACACATTGAGACTCTGAAGCTCTGCCTGCCTACCTGGCCCTGCGCGTGGAACTGGGAGCATTTCTGAGAATGCCACCATAGATGTCATGGATTTCAGTCTCTTCCCTGGCAGCCTAAATTTGGCCGCCAGGACTTCTCTCCTACCCTTCCCTATGTCATTGATACCTACATGTACCACGACCACCGGCTCCTCCCCAGCACTACACATAAATGTATCTAGATGCCTCGAGAGATCCGCAACTTTCGCACCAGGCAGGCAAGTCACCATACGGTTCTCCCGGTCATCACAAACCCAGCTATCTATGTTTCTAATGATCGAATCTCCCATTACTAACACCTGCATAAGAGGCTTTTGTTCCATTCTGCTATTTCACCACAAAGGCAGAGCGAAGCCAGGTTGTACAGCCAGGTTCAGGGGAGGTACAGTTCAGAAAGCTCTGCAGTGTGGTAATGGAGCCCTAAATAGCTCCAGCGGACCTACAGCTAAGCTACAACTAATCAGGAAAGAGATCTTGGAGTCATCATGAATAGTTCTCTGAAGACGTCCACGCAGTGTGCAGCAGCAGTCAAAAAAGCAAACAGGATGTTAGGAATTATTAAAAAGAGATAGAGACTAAGACGGTGAATATCTTATTCCCCTTATATAAATCCATGGTACACCCACATCTTGAATACTGCGTGCAGATGTCATCTCCTCATCTCAAAAAAGATATACTGGCATTAGAAAAAGTTCAGAAAAGGGCAACTAAAATGATTAGGGGTTTGGAACGGGTCCCATATGAGGAGAGATTAAAGAGGCTAGGACTTTTCATCTTGGAAAAGAGGAGACTAAGGGGGGATATGATAGAGGTATATAAAAGCATGAGTGGTGTGGAGAAAGTGAATAAGGAAAAGTTATTTACTTGTTCCCATAATATAAGAACTAGGTGCCACCAAATGAAAGTAATGTGCAGCAGGTTTAAAACAAATAAAAGGAAGTTCTTCACATAGCGCACAGTCAACTTGTGGAAATCCTTGCCTGAGGAGGTTGTGAAGGCTAGAACTATAACAGGGTTTAAAAGAGAACTGGATAAATTCATGGAGTTTAAGTCCATTCATGGGTATTAGCCAGGATGGGTAAGGAATGGTGTCCCTAGCCTCTGTTTGTCAGAGGGTGGTGATGGACGGGAGGAGAGAGATCACTTGATCATTACCTGTTAGGTTCACTCCCTCTGGGGCACATGGCATTGGCCACTGTCGGTAGACAGGATACTGGGCTGGATGGACCTTTGGTCTGACCCAGTACGGTCATTCTTATGTTCTTATGTTCTTGAGCTTCAGAGTACAGCACACTCTTTGGGATCCTGTAATCTGGCATTCACTTGACATGTCCAAGTCACCTGAGTCTTTTCTTACTAGTCAACATTCCCATGAATGACAAACCAGCATGATTTAACACTTCCACATTTGTCACCCTGCCTTGCTACCTTATTCAAAGAATTTTACACAAGCATCTGATATGAAAGCTGTTTAGTCTTTTGGTACGTTTGACATAAGTTGTCCATGTTTCTGAGCCAAATAGAAGAGTGGATCTCATAAATACAGATTTTCACTCTAATTAACAATTTGTTGTTGTTCATGGCTCTGTCTTGCAAAAAAACAAAGTTCCTGGCTGCTTTGCTGATTCTACTAGTGAGCTTAGCATCAAGATTTACATTGCTGATAACAGTAGAGCCAAGCTAGCCAAATTGGTCAACAACATCCAGACAAATGCCATGTACGTTGGAACTGGTTCTGAAGAGCCTTGCTGCATGATAACAGTCTTCTTCAAGCTTTTTGCTAGCCCATGATTTTACATGAATCAGAGTACTTGGTAATAAGATGTTGCAGAGCATCAACACTGTGAGCCACAAGGACTGCATCATCTGCAAACAACAGGTCCCTTATGATGATCTTCACTTTCGTCTTAGCTCTTAACTCTTATCAGTCTTCTGGCAATATGCAGATTCCTGTCATGATCTTGATCTGTCATCTAAAAATCCTAATAAAACCACCTTTCAGCTTCACATTTGTTAGATCTCTTCCTCTTTTCACTGAAAGTATTTTGCCTACTTGCCACCTCTATGTCCAAGGGGATTTCAGAGTTTAGCATGCTCTCAGTGACATCTCAATTACATGTTTATCACAAATGGTAGTTCTGTGAACTAACCAGCCTTCACTCCTAAGGTCACTACAATCTTCCTCAGATAATAGGAAGTAGTAGTATTCTCCTTCTGGATGAATGCAAACATTGTAAGGAAGTAAAATGTATAAGTTAGATATGGACAGAGCCTTCAGGGGCAGAAAGGTACACAGCAGAGCCATCAGAGCTTCAGGTGCAACTCCTCTCATTACTATGCACTCTGTGAAAAGAACAGCGATTTTTGTGGACAAACAGATCACACACATCTTATGAGGAGATCCGTAGGCTACTTACTGGGCCTTCCATTCACACTTTCTCAAGCACTATAGAGTCAAGTATCAGAGGGGTAGCTGTGTTAGTCTGGATCTGTAAAAAGCAACAGAGAGTCCTGTGGCACCTTTAAGACTAACAGGTGTATTGGAGCATAAGCTTTTGTGGGTGAATGCCCGACGAAGTGGGCATTCACCCATGAAAGCTTATGCTCCAATACATCTGTTAGTCTTAAAGGTGCTACAGGACTCTCTGTCACTATAGAGTCAACATCCTAACCCCTGCTGATGCAGCATTTGGTTAGAAGGATGTTATGGAACAGGGTCTCCCAGTAACCCGTGAGTTCCTTTTCAATTCTGCCTGGGCAAGTAGAATCACCCCAACCTCTCTAGGGATGGTTTACTGCTTTCTACATCCCACTGAGAAGAGTGTCTGACATGGAGGGGCCTTAGAAAGGGAAAATTCTGCTGAGACTAATCACTCATTCTCTTGATAACCCCTTCTAAGTGTTCTGTGAGTGTAGTTCTTAGTATTTTTATAACTCACTGCTCAGTGGGGTCCTTTGAAGGGAGAGCAGTGCAGCTTGTGATTGGATAGGCCAGTGATTACAGGCAGCTGAGTCAGAGGGGCTCAGTCACACATTCCAGTTGTGCGTGGGGTGCAG